TTCGATTAGCTGTTAGTTGTTAGCTGATTCAATTAGCGGGTTGGACTAGCTGATTCGATTAGTTGTTTGTATTAAATTATTTGGTAAAATAACGGTTTGATATTAATTGTTTATACGTAAAATGACAATTAAGAACATTTTATATTTTATTTTCAAAATATTTAATTAAGTTTTTTCGGTAGGTAGACTTTTTTATAATTTTATTATTAATTTTAAAAATAGAATACATATATATAAAAAAGAGCTCAAGCGTGGACCCCATTTTTTGTAAATTTGTGCAATCCTGCAGTTACAGAATTTTGAGATTTTTTCATTTTCTTTTTATGTTTTGATTTTTCTACAATTTTTCATAATTAAAGTTATTTGATAAAAGTGATAGAGGGGTGATGGGGTTAGAAAAAATGGGTGATGTGATGATATGATTTTCATGATCTATATTCTATATATACATATATATTTGAGATCAGTGTCTAATTTATGCACTACAAAATTTTGGATTTTTTTTTTTAATTTATACTCATTTGCTTTGGAACTCATGTTCTTATAGGTTTTTTCACGGATGATCATTCTTATTGTTCATATATATATATATATATATTTTTTGTTTACTAAATTTTGTTTTTCTATTATTTTGCAGAAGCAAAACGTTTTCCGGACGTAATGTTGAGATATGTTATCGATTGCACTGTAATTTATCTTTCATTTTATTTTTTGTTTTTTTCCTTATTTATTTATTCTATCTATTTGTTGAGACATGTTAATCAAACAATTATCTACTCTCATTTATCTTTCATTCTATTTTTTGTTTTTTTTTTCTTTTTGATTGATTTTATCTATTTATGTTATTTAATAATTTTGTATTCACTTTGACGTTTTGGGAGAGAATACAATTTGGACGCAGGAAGATGTTCCAATCATTCAATTTCATAAGCACGAATACCTTCGTTTAATATCATATTTTTGGTGTAGAAAGTCTTAAATTCCGGATCTTCATAATTATTTTATAATATTTGGATAAATGTTGTTAGCTATATCTAAATATGAAAAAATTATTAGATTAAATTTTATTTTTTATTTTAAATATTAATTATTTGGATAATTTTCTATAATATTCAAATATTTTGTATTAGTTAAAAATATTATATATATTAATTAATTATTTTTGAATTATTTTTTATTTGTATACATATATTTACGTATTTATGTGCATTATTTTGTTAGTGTTAATGTTCTAATATTTTTGTTAAAATATTGATACTATATTTGGTAATTCTATGATTTTTTTTTTCACAGTTTTTAGACATACAGAATGAAGAAAAAAAAAACAAATAACAAGATAAAAAATGCAGCAGATGATATGCAGTACGCAAATAACAGTGGAAGAAACAAACAAGTATAAAATAATAAGAATATTATGTATACGTACGTTGTTTTTTTGTGTTAATTTTTATAATAGTTTTTTCACAATACTGATACTTTTTTATTTTTTGGTTTTGGTTTTTTTTTTTTTGTACAAATAAAGATACAAAATGCAAAAAAATGTCAAATAATAAGAATATTATTTGTATGTATTTTTTATTAATGTTTTGATTTTTTTTTCAAAATACTTATACTTACTTTATTTTTGGTAAATGTGAAGATAAAAATATAATTTTTTTTTAACAAATGAAGATGCAAATATGACATACATGTGATTTTTCAGATGTCATTGTTATAATATTTTTCACAATTTTCTTATTTTCTTTTCATATTCTCTCAATTTTTTACAATTGTTCTGATGTTTTTTGTATTGATTATAGTGTTTTTTGTTATTTTTAAAATTGTTTATTTTTGCTTTCAATTGTAGCATCCAGGGCATAGAAAGAGAGGAATATTAAAGAAGAAAAAAAAACCAGAAAAAAAAAGAAACTTAGAACAAAGAAGAAAAAAAAAGAAAAAAAAGATAAATGCAGGTGTTTAGCTATATCTTTGGTGGTTTTTTAATTTGTAATATATAAAAAATATTTTATTATACATTTAAGTGTAATTTAAAATTCTTATTAGCAATTCATCATAATTTATATTAAATTATATGTTATTTTTATTATTTTTTTTCATCCCAGAGAGTTACAATATTGTAATTAAGTTATCTGGGGAATTGATTTTATTTGTTAAGTTGTAAAAAACATTGTTATATGTATATGAATAATAATTTTATTTTCATAATCAATCAAGTTCTAAACACATCCAAATATATGTATAGCTTTTATATATTTTTTAATTGATTTTGTTCATAATAAATTAAATTATTATTTTAACATTAAGTTATTTTAGTTATATTGCATATTTTATTCCAAATATATAATGTAAATCATAATTTATATTATATATTTTTTTTCGAAAAAGTTTGTGTTCGAACAGTCATGGCTGATGTGGGTGTCTGCAGAGATTGACTGATGCCGGCTCTATTTGGTGCGTGTGTTTGGCCGAGAATATGGTAGATGATGATGATGTTTTTAGTTCGAGCTTGCAAAAGATCCGGTGGCAGCCGCTCAAATCAGAAGATGTGTTAAAATTATTGTTATGGGTGTAGCGAAGATTTGTTTGTTTTTCCTTTGTTTTTTAAGCAGTAGAATAAGAAATTTGTTTTGTAAAATATTGTTGGATTATATATTTTTATTTCTTAATTTATTGTATGATATTTAGTGGAAAGATCGACGGTTGTATAGGTTCTTGATATATTTTTTATAAATTAATTTTTAATATATTTGTATTTAAAAATAATAAAATAAATGCATAGTACTATCCAAAAGTAAATGCATATATTCTACTAAATTTTAAAATAATTATGTAAACACATATATATGTTTTAAAAAAACATAGACTTAGGTTTTAAATTTATTCTAAAATTACAACGTATATATTGATAAATAATTTTTATTTGTGATTACGATTGTAAAAAGATATAAAAAATATTATATTAAAGTTTTAAAATGTAATTTATTTTGCATTCAAAATTATTATAAATAATCTATTATATTATAATCTTATATTCAATTAAGAAATAAAAGTAAAACGCTATAAAATTAAATACGGAGATAGTATAATTCATTGATATTATTTTATTTTTATATATTGATTAAATATATATATATATAATATGTAAATAAATTACTTTTAAACAAAAAAATATGATTATAAATTTTTTCGTTGATTTAACCGTGCGTAGCACGATTATTCCACTAGTTTAAATAAATAAAGAATATAAATATAGATATTTTTAAACAAAAATGAAGTGGCTGACGAAATTGGTCAAATTGAAAGAGAATTAATTATATAAATATATATTTTTTTATAATTGTGCAACCAATGGTATGTTTGGCAATTAGATGATAGCGGTTAGCTGTTAACTTATTCGATTAGCTGATACTTGTCCGTAATTCAATTAACGAGTTTGACTAGCTGAATCGGTTAGCTGTTTGTATTAAAATATTTGGTAAAATTACAGTTTGATATTAGCTGTTTATACGTAAAATGACAATTAATGACATTTTATATTTTACTTTCAAAATATTTAGTTAAGTTTTTTCGGTAGGTAGATTTTTTTATAATTTTATTATTAATTTTAAAAATTAGAAAAAATTTAGTAAGATATTTATTTTTATTATTTTAAAAATATTTTTTAAAAAATTAATACAAGTTTATTGAAAAATATTTTTTTTTATTAGAAATAGTATAAATATAAAAGAACAAAAATTATTAACATATGTATTTTTATTAGATTAATTTTTAATTAATATATATCATTAAATTTATAATTTTAAATAAATATATTCATTTTTAATAAAAATATTATGTGATAAAAAATGCTATATAATTTATTCAATAATGTTAATATTTTTATATTATCTTTATTCTAGAAAATTAAAAAAAAATTATATATAAGATAATTGATATATAAAAAATAATTATTTTAAATTTATAAATATGAATTTATAAGTTACTAGAAGAAAATATATCTAAATAATTAATAAAGTGTAATAAAAAAATATATGAATATATGTGAAAGAATTAATTAATTTTAAGGGCTAATAAAGAATAAAAAAATTAAAATAAAAAGCTAATCTGAGACATTGATACATACAGCTTTTTCAGAATTAGTTTTTTGGACTCAATAAGCTAATTACTAATTTACCAAACACCAAAAAGCTGGTTTACTGATCAAACAGCTAAAAAGTTAAAGTTGTTTACCAAACACCCTAATCTATTTTTCTTTTTTGCAATTTTTTTTTTGTATTATATATCTTCTTTTTTGCAATTTTTTTTATATTATATTTTTTTGTGTATTATTAAAAAAATTATTCGGTACAAAATAAATAAATATATATTGATATATTTCAAATTTTGAATTAAATTTTAAAAGTTACATTACATGTATATGAATATAAAATCTAAATAAATGAACCATTATGAGAGAGAATGATAGAATAGGGAAGACATAAAATGAAAAAAAAAATGTCTTGTCGAATTGGTTAAATGAAATGAGAATAGTTCAGTCGGTTGAGATGAAAAGAGGGGAGAAAGTGGCTGAATTAGCCGGATGAAAATGAGGATAATCCAGTCGATTGGGACAGAAACAAATATAATCAATTATATAAATATATATAATTTTTATAACTGTACAACTTACCAATTTAAAAAATATATATATTTTTTTTTTCAAAATATTTTTTTATATTATACTTTTCTTTAGTTAATTTTTTTTTGTATTATTAGAAAAATATTCTTTACAAAATGATATATATACTGAATTGGTTTGATGAGAAGAAGAAAAATCGTCCCGTCGGTTGGGATAGAAAAATAAAAAAAGAAATATAATCAAATTGTATATTATTTTTCTTTTTTCAAAATATTTTTCTATATTATACTTTTCTTTAGATAATTTTTTCTGTATTATTAAAAGATTATCTTTATAAAATGATATATATACTAATTTAGTTGAGAAAGAGGAGAACCGTCAATTGGGATGGAAAGAGAAAATGCAGCTCAAAACATTCACTAAAGAGTGTTTACCCAAAGGAGTCATTTTGCCTCATCAGTGCACCAAAATGAATCCAAAGAATAAGTTCAGAAGAAGCTTTGTCTAACTAAAACATCTACAAAACAAAACAAAAAGAACTAGTAATTCATGTCTCACTCAATTTAACAAAACCAGACAGAATGGCTCTCTAGATAAGGATTCAATCTAGGGAAAATCGAAGGGGCAGTAAGAATTTCAATACCTTGTATTCTGAGAAGCACAATTTTATATCAGGGCTGATAGACATCTGGCAGCCGCAGCCCTACACTCGTGGCAGATTTTCCGATTACCTTTTTCATTTCATCAGACCGATCCACGGCAATGTTGTGTGAAAACAGCAGCTCCTGCAAATCCACATAATGTCAACATGTCTCACTCCTAACTTGCAAGGAAGCTGATTATATGTGTAGATTAATTATGTAGCAAAGTTATACGGAAATAAAAGTCGAGAACTTTATTTATGTACGAATGTAAATGAATCACATTATGTCGTGAAACTTCTAGCTTGAAAATGTTGCAAGTGACTTGTAATATTATTTGCTAATTCTCGAACCTTTTGGAATGGTCGTGTCCTAATGAAAGTAATTTCAATGATTTCAGTCTAAAAAGCTCTAACTATGCAGTTCTGATCAGAATTAAAGCTATGTTCGATAAAAAGAGACTGAAGTATTTTCAGTATCAACCTGTCAGTGCTATGTAGAGTAGTTAACCCGAATCAAAGCCAAAAATAGTACTCGTAAAAGGCTTGGCTCGACAGAACAGAGGGCATGCTTAAAGCTTCTAGACGAAAAAAGAGATGTAAAAATTTTCAGAAGAACGAAAATAGATATGGTCATTAACAATTCACATTAGAGCATATGATCATTCGTAACACACATAGTGTGTTCACCTAGATGTGTTCTTTTGGGAGATTTTTTCGGATTTCCACTATTCACTAATTTTTTTTCCCTACGAAATATCAAATCAAATACTTATTTTTTATATTATACTAAAAATCAATTTTACATTTAAAACATCATCACATCAACACCTATTTATATCATATCATACCACTAATCCAATTCAAATTTTTTACTATTTCAAATTCCAAAACAAACACACCATTAGTGTTTTAAGGTGATGCGAGTCCAAAAAATATTACTCAAATAATACAATATATACGCATAACAATAAAAGTCAACAAAATCACACAGAACATCATTCCTTATCATACTTTCAAAATTCCCCATATCTTACAACAAAAAACACACAAATACACCCGTAGTGTTATTTGCCTCTTTATTGTTACACAACAGCATCCCGCTAACAAAAAAAATTAAGAAAACTCGGCCTTAAATCCTTCAATAATGATAACAAACATATTGGTTTTTCAATTTGTGTGTTTCTATGACCGGTTGAATTAGACAAATCCTAAATTTTCAGGACAAGGATATGACCATTGCCAGAATGGAAAACAACAAATGCTAAAAAACAAATTCTAAGACCGGAATTTCAGGACAATCTATCCGTACTATGCAACCAGACACCATTGTTCAATCTGTTGACGGACGCAGAATCAAAACCATAGAAAATCTTATTAAATGAAATCAACAGATTTTACTTTGTCTTGTGGCCAATCTAAGGTGACTTGGATTTTGTAACTCCTAAAATAGTTTCACTTTTTATGCCAATCCAATAAGCAATTTAACTTCCAGCTGTAACAAAGTTCTAATCTAAAGAAAAAACTTATAAATCAAGCAAATAAACTTCATATGCAATTCCATGAGTTTGTAAAATTGATGTGATTAGAACCCCAACTCATCGCATTGAACAGGATTCTCAGGCCATTGGTAAGTCAAGTATTCCACGATATGGCCATTGCAACGTTCTTTAAATCATTTACTACTATAGATTACACAGGGCGTGTTCCGTTACAAGAGAGACTCAGAATCATCAAGAATTAGGACACAATATGGTTTTCTTCCTTTGGCCTAACTCCCAAGTAGGTAACAAAACTTGCTAAAGTTCACAATTTAGTAAAACAAAGTAAGACAAATTTTACTGGTGAGAGATTTCCTAAATCAAAGGCAAAGGAAAAAGATAGATGCCTTGACCTGGTTATATCCTTAAAATGTCCACAGAAAGATCATAGAAAACAAGGTATTGGCAAAATATTAGCACTCTCCACGAACACACTTCTACTTAAAAAGAAGCAGTTGGATTGTGTTTGCAAATTCAAACTTCTTCTAGTTCTAACTAGTTTACAAAACTTCAACTAGAGACTTCATTGTGCTTCTAATAGATTATTTATTTTTACAAAAGTACCGTAGTTTTGTTTGCACATTTTAAATCTTAGTGAAATAATAAAGTAGGTTACCCATCAACATGTCTTCCCAGAAATCACTGATTATATTTTTGCTATCTTATGTTCAAAACATCTTCCTATTCTTCTTCTTCTTCCTCCTAATTTCCAAACATTTCAGCTACTACTTTTAAGTCTAACTTCAAAATTTAATCTGCTCTTAACTATAAGTAAAAGGCAGAAATTGTGAATATAGAGCCGGAATAGAATAATTGAGCAAGAATTATACAAATTATCAATAAGGTTGATATCAGAAGTATGAAATAAAAAATCATTGCACTTGCTCAATTCCAATAGAACGATGCTAAGCCCATTTGAGTTATCATCTTTGCACCAATTCTCGAGCACCAAAGATTAATATAACTCAAATATTTACCAAGAACAAAGTAGACACAAAATCTTCAAAAATGAATAAATAAATGCCTAATGTTAGCCCTACAACAACCTTAAAAATGCCAATGATTTGTTTTCTCATTAACACCAGAATATTAATATTTCTCTGCCAATCAATATATGCAACAAAATAAGTATTTGTTATTACACAAAATTCCGTCCCAAGGAACCAAAATTTAATTGACCCTTCATCAGAGACAGTATGGCCAAAATTGTGCAACAGAAATTGCAAAGATGGTTTCTTCAAAAACAAACCGAAGGTAACCGCCCGAAATTCAGCTATAAAAACCCAATATGTACACAATTCAAGATATCTTTCAATTGATAACAAAATGTTTTGGTAAATTATTTGGAGATTGCCTGTTGTACTTCTTGCACTTCTATTTTTCTTTGTATTTACACTAACAACTTTAGAGGATTTTAAATTCTTCAGGTTTGCAAAAATCAATTTGAGGTTTCAGCCAAATTTTTCTTATCTATTGTTGATTTTCTGCAATTAACAGTAATATTAACAAAAATGAATATGAGAATGGAAAATAAAAGCACCTTATGGTGATGAACGCTGTTAAGATAGAAAGTATAATCGCTGGCAAGCTTTAAATTCAGCGGGTTGTTGTTGGCGTCCTTTCTGAATTCATGGCTGATGTAATCGAAGAAATGGGAATTGCGTTTCTCTTTTCCAATATTCTGCTTCACTGCTTTAAGAAGGCTCCTATAAACGCCCTTTGTCGTTGTATTTGCTCCGTGAATGATTGAACCCATCTTTCTCACCGATTCTTCCTCTCAATTCATCTCACCTTCAGTCAGAGACCCATCAACAATGAAACAGCTAATAAGCTGCCAAAAAAGACACAAAACAGTAACAAATAAATGAAGCACCATATTCAAATAAAGTAATTCTATGCTTCAATTGTAAGTTAGGGCATCCACGACCAGGGTTCGCTTTCTAGGTATGATGTCGACAATTTCGCAGACGAAGCAGAAGGTGCCTAATGTCGATGACGTATACGAAGATTTAAAAAAAAAAACTCACCAAATTCGCGACCGGCGGCAGCAGCGCAGGGGGAGAAGGTGGAAAAGGAAGAAGAAGAAGAAGAAGAAGAAAGAGGGAGAAGGAAGGAGAGGATCAGAACCGGTTGCGGTGTGGTGCAGACATGCCCAACCGGTTATTGAACCGGGTTCCGGTTCACACTCAAACCGAAACCCATTTTTTACGGTTCGATTCCAATATTTTTGAACCGAAGATCGCACGAACCAGAGGTTCAGTTTTTATTATTATTATTATTATTATTATTATTTAAGAAAAATAAATGGTAAATTGTATAATACTTTTGTATTTTACTTATTGCCTAAACTTTCTTTGTATCAAATTAAAGGTAAAAAATTATTTTTTGTCCAAATATAATCAAAATTCATCAATTTTTGTCATAATATAAAAATTCATCAATTTTGGTGATAATATAACCAAAATTCATCATTTTTTGTTCCACCGTCAACCAATCGATGAAAAATGCTAACTTAAACCTAACGAAACCGACGTAGCAAATGACCTGGAATGAACACGGCTGTGTACTATCCTACACGCCCGTGTTCCTACAAGTCAGCATCTGTCAATCACACTACACGGCCGTATATATATATGAACACGGTCGTATTAATCTGAACGGGCAATTTCCGCTATTCAACACTAATGTTTTGACGATACACACAGCCGTGTTATAGATGTTTCTGTCTACAACGCTTCTTCTTTCCCAGCTTTCTTTCAATTCTTTTTTTTTTGTTTCTTACGACCTTCTTCTTCTTCACGACTTGAAATTATCTAAAAGTTTTTCCTCCATCTTCTAAGTGAGACCATTTTCTTGTGAATCTCCCAAAGATATCTCATCGTCAGAATTTTGATGAGCAGTCGTTCCTTTCCTATGGAAGCTGTCATTAAATCGTAGCTCAACATTTTATTTTCTATTTATCTTTATCATGATTCTTCTTTCCCTTTTTGCCGCCTTCGCCGGAATTTGGATCAGATCATCAAGCGTCGTTAGTGATTGATGCCAACCCGGCGACGGTGTTGTAAAAAGATTGTAATTCATGTGATTGAGCTACACTTTTCACATTTGAGAGAGTTGGGGCGACAATGTTATTGCCCTATGGAGGTGCACAATATAGGGATCCCCGGTGGTTTGATTTGGGTTTGATTTGTAAAGTTTTGGTTTGATTTTGTATTTAAATAATACTTCATCCGTCCATTTTTTAATATCCTATTTGGTATTTACACGCAATTTTAGGTAATTAAGGTTTTTGTTATAAAATGACAAATTTGTACTTAATTTTGTGTATATAAAATAAAAGAGTAAATAAAGTAAGGGTAAAAGAGTAAATTTTGTGTAAAAAAAATAGAAAGAGGACAATAATTGTTGTACATTCCAAATGGGAAAATAGGACGTTAGTTTGTGAATGGAGGGAGTATTTGATATAATATTTTGTGAGAGAAAAAATATACCGTGTATTTGTTTTGTGAGATTATTGGAAATAAAAGTTTTTTACGTGAAATATAGGAAATTATATAAAAAATATAAAAATAATAAATGTATGTAGTGTATTAAATTTAAAAAAAAAAGTGTGGAAAAAAAATAATATAAAGAACAAAACCTACGCTTTTTCTTTTTCCTTGAAAACGCAAAGGTTCAAATAGTAAAATTCTAAAATTGTGTTTGTTTGGTAGATAAATTTTGGATCAAATTTTTACTATTTATAAAAATTCAAAAAAAAAATTCAAAAATATCAAATTAAATATTTATTTTTTATTTTGCATTCAAAATATAACATCAATATTCTACTTAAATCATATCAAATAAGTATTTCCATTCAAAATTTTACCATTTTAAACTCGAAATCCACCTTCCATGCCACAACCAAACGAACCCTATTATATCTATCGATTTCCTTTTATTAAAAGTTGGTGAACACATCAAACTCAACATTAATCAGCGCCGGATCTTTAAAAATCTCACGAGCATATAAATCGAAACCTCAATCGAGCAAGACGAGCAAAACAAAGCTTAAATGAAGGCAATCCATCGATCCATATAGCTCATTCAATTCGGACAAGACTGTTATAACCACCATTTATTTCATATGTAAGAATCAGGCGATTCCACTGGAGGACACGTGTTCCTGTTCCCGCTCGTCTACTTCTTTATCGGGTGATTTTACATACCATCTTTTGAGGCGCGCGGAAGCCTTTAGTACCTACACAAGAGCATCAATGAATATTCGAACCTTTTAGCCCCTTTTTTGATCTTTCAAGAGTTTACTTTTAAGACAATAGTTTTCGATGGTAGTAAGAAAAAGACAAAAAAAAAAAAAAAACCTCTTCATCCCAGTTGGTCCGCCACATCATGAAGGTCAATACGAACGTCTCTGCTATAACCCCGCTTAACATTCCGATCCATATACCCTGTCGATGTTAGAAGACAATCGGATTAGGAGCGCTTAGAAAAAAATGAACGTGAAATATACATGTAATGTGTAATTTTTATCTCAAAACTATATATTCCTTACGTCCCACTCTAAGGGCTACATTTATTTTTTGTAGTATTGATATTTAAATATTAATCATTATATCAAAATATAGTACAAATAAAGGAAAAATAGCAAAAAAAAAATACTTTTATTAGTGTCTTGTAATACTAATATAATGATATTTATACAAAAAATTATATAAATATAAAGATATTTTTAATGTTAAGTATAATGATGCAAAAAGTAAATGTAATACTTAGAGACGGACGGAAATCAATTTTTGTTATTATTATTCAGAATGCAAAAGTACACTATTTTTTCTAATAAAATATAGTACTCCCTCCGCCCCTTAACAATCTATCCATTTTTCCATTTTCGTCCGTCTCATAGCAAAATATCAATTTTCTTTATTTAGTAACTGTATTATTTACCTAACATTACAAATACCCTTCCAATTTACAATATATTACACAAATGTCATTACCTTTGTATCATACAATACTAACAAGGGCAATTTAGTTTTTTTACCTTTACTTCTACTACATTCCAATATAATACTAATATTCCTAAAACTCCGTGCAAAAAGTAATTGGATATATAGATACGAGACGAATGGAGTATATAAATACTGTTTAAATAAAGTAAAACATTTGAACCAAGAGTCAAGACATAAACCAAACATAGGTGGTGATTTTTAGTAAAAACTTCGTTTTGAATTGGAAATACTAGAAAGCATAATGTAAAGTAACTAAAATTTAAATAAATTTAAACATAACGAGTGTATTTGTTTGAGAGTTTGGATTTTCAACCGTAAAACATTGAAAACTAATAGGTATTTAATGTGATATAAATATACTTTGATGAACTATTTTAAGTAAGTATAATATATAAAAAAAATATATATATATGATTTAATATATTTGAAAAAAATAATGAATACTAAAATTTTAAATTTAAATATTTATTTGATGTGATATAAATATATATTGATACGATATTTTGAATGCAAAATTGATGGTTTGTTTGTTATGCTAAAACAAACACATTTTTCCAAAAAAATAACATATTACACTCATTATTTTTATATCATGTACACAATCCCTATATGCAGTGGCGGAGCTAGTAGAGGATTGAAGGGTTTTTGGCCCGCTAATTATTTGAGTTTTGTATTTTTATTATATAATATTTGTATAATTTCTAAAATTTTAAATAATTGGCCACTCCTATAAATTTAATAAAAGTATTATTACTATTTTTTTATATTTGTAACTCAAACACTCAAAAAAATTGGTTCAAATACTCCAAATATTTAGAAATATTCTAAAAACCAAGATAAAAAGCAAGTTGTTTGTAATTTTTTTTAATTTCTTTATTATATTATATAATTTTAAATTTATTATACTACATTTGTCCACAACCAATCTATCTGTTTACTTTGTGCATGTTAATATTTGAATATTAATTATTATATCAAAACGTAGTACAAATCAAAGAAAAACAACAAAAATATTTCTATTGGTATCTTATAATACTAATGTAATGACATTTGCACAAAAAAATTATACAAATATAAAAATATTTTTAATATTAAACACAATAATATCAAATACAAAAGGATAGATCGGTGGATGAAGATAGTATATTATTTATATAGAAAAATTTTTGGCCCCCGCCAAAAAAAATTTCTGGCTCCGCCCCAGCCTATATGTTAAATAAAAATATATATATTCTTTTAAATTATTTTACAAAATAATCAAACCATAAGAATGGATTTGGACTATGAATGTGAACTCAATTAGTAGAACAAAATGGGTTCGTTCATTTACGTTTGGTTTTACTGTTCAATCTATTATAAAATAGATATACTATTTAATATTTACTTTCATTTAAAACATAATAAATAATTATTTTTATTTTAGAAATACCAAGTCATAAAACAAAATTAAGAAAAAAAGTAAATAAATTTAAAAAAATTTACGCGGGAAATTCACTAGTACGTTCGTTACCTTTACTTGAAGCGAGGTGACATATCCGAGCACGACTCCGAGGGGTAAACCGATAACATAAAAGCATACGAGATTCACAATCGCCACGGTCGCTTGCATACCCGCCCCAACAGCCACACCTAGTCGACACAAAAATAGAATAAAAACCTAAGAGCCAAATTTCTTGAATAACTATTTAGATCAAGTTATATGAATTTACGGAATTTTAAAATCTTTTAGAAATAATAAAATATAGAATTTTATTTTTTTTATCAGAATAAAATATAGAATATTTGATTTGATATTTTGTATATTAAAAAAATATATATATATAGGTATTTGATAGTATAATATTTCTTAAAAAAAAATTATTAAAGAAAAAACAACCTGAGAAAATCGGATAAATGCTATTGAACAACACGGATAAAGACAGCAGGATGGATAGATCGGACACGGTCTTTACAACTTCCTCGTCGTCGCTAAATAAATACCCGATTTTATTCCCGAAGATCAAGCATAGGGCCCAAATTGTGATCCCTATTGTAAGAGAGGTCGAGAGTAGGACTTTGATCGCAAATTTCACGGCTTTGGCATCTCCGCGTCCGAGCTCATTTGCTACGCGCACGCTACAAAATTAGAACAAACAAAAAAAGAAAAAGGTCGTCATTTTATGATCATATTTAATAACTACGGCGAAGAGTCGAATGAGTTTACCATGCGGCGCCAAGAAGACCGAGACAAACCATGAATTCCCATGCATTGATGTTGAGGCTGCAAGATTTGTTTCCGAAACATGATTTCTTACAACATGTGTATCGAAGAAAAATATATATACATATATATTGCGCGATACCGAAAAAACCAATTACCATACGGAGAAGGCGGATATTGCGACCTCGGCGTTCTTCATGTATCCGGCGACTAAAACGAGTAGGGCGTAATACCACATCTCCAAGCTACAACATGGTTAACAATCAACAATGGAATGAAAAAAAAAAATATGTATGGATGTGTTTGGTTTGGAGTTTAAATCCAAATCATCATTATTCAATCTGCAAGATTCCTAATAAAAATATATTATTTTATTTCCCACAAAATATCATATCAAAATACTATTTATGTAAAATTACTTATCACTCACTTGTGGTTTGAAAAGTTTGCACCATTTTCACCTGTGGTTTAAAAATTGCATAAGATTATCTTATATTTTCATAATATTGCACAAGATACTTTATAGAAGATTTTATGTACTCCATCCGTCCCATTAAAAGGTTGTTATTTTCCATTTCCATCCGACCTAAAACAAAGTTACTATTTTCTAATTTAGTTTGTACTACCTACCTAATATAATAAATACACTTCCAACTTACAATATATTACACAAATGCTATTACTTTTATATTACATAAAACTAAGGAGTATTTTTGTTTTTTTTTACTACAATTCAATATAATACTAATATTCAAAATTCTACGTGCAAAAAGTAAACGGAGTAATATTTTAAAAAAGACAAGGAAATCTCATGCAATTTTTAAGATATTTTATGCAATCTTTTTCTTAAATTACGTGCAGATCATAAGCAATTTCGTCTACTATTTAAACCAAAACTCAAATCAGAATCTAAGTACTTACCAAATCATAATCCCGGAAGATATCGAGAGCTTCACGACGGGTACAATGTCCTTCAAACACGCCAAATCGAAGCCTTTCCACGAGTCGGGACACCCTCCGCAGAACACATAGATGATTAATCCGATTGCCGTGACCCATGAAGAGACGTTGACAGCCACCATGGCGCCGTTAAGGCCCCAATCAAGAACGTTGACAAGAAGCCACGACAAAGGGACGTGGATGACGAACTGTAGGGCTGATAAGTACGCGACGATGACGTTCTTTTGCTGAGCTTGTAAGAACATTTGGATGGTCAAGCTAAAGACGAGCGAATAGCAGAAGGGAATGAACCATAGAGCGACGTATCCCGCGGCATCGGCGATGCTCGGATCCTCGCCGAGCAGCTTGAAGATGATTGGTGCCAGGAAGAAAAGCGGCAGCAAGATTGTTAGCGTGACCAAGTCGACTATCCACGAGCGTTGCAAGAAAATCCCCATCATGTGGTGTTGTTTCGCGCCGTAGGCTTGACCGCACAACGTCTCGGTTGCACTCGACATTCCGATCTGGAATTTAAGTACGGGATGAGATTCGATGATTCCATGTAGCTATATATATGTTATCGTTGCCGCAACGATTGACTTCAAATTGAAATCAACACTATTACACTATTTTTTATAATAAAAAATTACATCAAAATATTATTTAAATAAAAATTCCAATTAACTTGTTATTTCAAATAAATTCATAGATCACAATTAAACAATTTTCACTAACTCTGTATAAAAATACTTCAAGGGAATGATTACGGTGATAATTTAGGGTATGTTTCTTTAGGAGAGTTTGGGGAAAATTGGGTTTGGATTTGATTTTTATTTGAATTTTGAGATAAGTTTGGATTTTGTTGTTTCTTTTGTGTTTGGGTTTGGTTGGGGTTTGGGGAGTTTTGATGTGTATTGATTTGATGGATAATGAATAAAATATTACAAATGTGTATTAAATTTAATTGATAAAATTTATATTGTATGATTTGATTATAAATTCATATTATATCCAACATATATATTTAAATTTTTATTTATTTGTATTATAAAAAATATAATTTTCTATGACATATATATTGTATATATATATTTTTTCATTTAATTATAATAAATATTAAAAAAATTAATTTAAAAAAAAAAACAAAACAAAACAAAAACGGGGGGTTTGGTGCCCATTTTACTGACCAAACCCCCTTGGAAAAACATACCCTTAGGGTGTGTTTGTTTGAAGGATTTTGATAGATTTTTACTATTCATCCAATTTTTTCCCCCCAAAAATATCAAATCAAACACCTATTTTTCATTTTTTATATTATACTAAAAATCAATTTTACATTCAAAACATCACATCAAACCCTATTTATATCACATCATACAACTATTCAAATTCAAAATTTTTACTATTCAAATCCCAACTTAAAATCCAAACCCCCAAACAAACACACCCTTAGAAAATTCAGCACGCAGCACATACTCATATTACACACAGCACATGTTGTGTAAGACATACGATGTTTGTTTATAATTACAAGTATATTGTATAAAAGTACGTCATGTGCTAAAATCAACTGTTGTGTGTTGTACGAGACTATAGCATGTATTGTATTTATATTATATTAGCATATACAATATGTTATCCGTAATAATAATGAACGTTGTCAGACAACACACGATGTGCAGTGACTGCCACCATATTCAAACTATAGTTCAAATTAAATTTTAAAATCAAAATACAATATCATACCTAAAGTAAACAAACTTTCATATTCAAACTATTCAAATTAAATTTTAGAATCAAAATTGGGTATATCTGGGTTTGGATTTTGAGTTAGAATTGAATAATAAAAATTTTGAATTAAAATAGTGGTATGATGTGAAACAGGTGTTGATGTGATATTTTGAATGTGAAATTAATTTTTAATATAATATATAAAATAAAAAATAAATATTTTATTTGATATTTTTGAAAACGAAAAAATTGATGAATAGTAATTTTGGAATAGAATCCCACAACGGAACACACATACAATATCAAGAAGGTGTTTGATAAAGAGCTTTTTGAAGAGTTTTTTTTGAACAGTTTTTAATTTAGCTGTTTGGTAAATTAGCTTTTTGGACTCAAAAAACTAATTGTTGAAAAGCTAATTTACCCAGCGTTTTGAAATAGTTTTTTCAGTTTAAATTTTTTTATTATTTATTTGTCCTTAAAAATTTATTATGCATTTTACATAAATAAATATATTTTAATTATTTATTAATTATATTAAAATATTTTATTATATTATAGTTTTACTTTTATAAATTTAAAATAATTAATTTATATATATTATTTTAATTGTAAAATATATAAATTTATTAAAATCAACTCAAAATAGAAAATATAAATATTAATACTTTATTTTTATATTAAAATTACATTTTATAAATTTTATACTAATAATAAATTAAATTTGTTGAAAATTATAAATATAATAAACTAATCGATAATTAACATAATAAATATATACACGAAAAATTTATTATTTTATAAAAAACTACTTATATTTTTTAATAAAAATATATTATTTTTTAAATCTAACTATAATAAAAATAAATACTATTTTATAATACTTTTACAATTTTCAATAACTAATAACAAAAAATTTCAAACATTTCAAACTCAAAAGAACATAATCAAATATATTAAAAGAAAAAAGTAAAATAGAAATATCCTGAATTGTCATTTTACGTATAAACAGCTAACATCAAATAATTATTTTATCAAATATTTTAATAAAAACAGCTAATAGAATCAACTAACAACTATCAGCTAATTTACAATGACGGCCCAAACCTAAAGTAAACAAAGTTTCAAGTATCTCATCTTCACTTGATTACTAAACAAGACTAGTTAACATTTTTTCTTTAAATTCAAAGGTGTGTTTGTTTGGGCATTGGATTGGATTTACACTGTTTATCCAATTTTTTTCCCCCAAAAATTTCAAATCAAACACCTATTTTTAATTTTTTATATTATACTAAAAATCAATTTTACATTCAAAACATCACATCAACACCTATTTATATCACATCATACAACTATTCAAATTCAAAATTTTTACTATTTCAAATCCCAACTCAAAATCCAAACCTCGAAACAAACACACCAGTAGATATATATATATATATATATTTGATAAAAATTGTAAAAAGAGAAAAATGTAAACAGAATCCCCAAGTTTGTTCTTGTGCATTAATTTATTATTTGATTTATTTAAATAAAAAATGTAAACAAAATATCGAAATTTGTTTTTATGTAGTATAATTTAAAATTAATTTTTTGCTATTTAATTTTTTATTTAAAAAATATATATATACCCTAGGCTGTTACTTTGAACTGCTTTAGTTTAATATAAAATGTTACGTCCTACAAATGTTTATTACAAAAAATAAAATATAATAAAATCTCATACTATAAATATTTAACTAAAAATAAATAATATAAAAAAAACTAGTCGGATTTATCTGTCATACTTTTAATACAAGGGTGCCTTTTTAAATATAAATTTTTTTAATATAAAATTGATTTTTAATACTCCCTCCGTCCCATTCGAAAAATAACATTTGATTTTTGCACGTAAATTTTTTAATATTAATATTATATTGAATTATAGTAAAAAAAAAACAAAAATACCCCTATTAGTATGTTTTAATATAAAAGTAATGATATTTGTGTAATATATTTTAAGTTGAAATGGTATTTATTATGTTAAGTAGATAGTACAATTACTAAATTAGGAAATAGTAACGTTGTTTTGGGACGGACGAAAATAGAAAATGATAACCTTTCAATGGAACGGAGATAATATAATATAAAAATAAAAAATAGATGTTTGATTTGATATTTAAAAAAAATGGAATAAATAGTGCATTCGGAAAAACCCCAAACAAACACACCCTTAAATAAATAAACTTATCGTCTAGGCAGCATTATCTAGTGTGACTAAGTCCCTATAAATAAAAATTATATATTAAATAATATTATTTAGATGAAGCCCTAATTATCCACCTGTCCTTGTACACATTTTTAAACACTAAAAAAAACGCCACAGTCGAAGTCTACTACGAGAAGGTTCTCGTAAAGCGTGTGCAAATTTCGTACGTAAAATATGCTCTAATTTCCCCAATTTAAAAAATTACCAAAACCTAATAAATAAATTAAAAAATAATTAATTAATTAAAGCAGGGAGGAAGGTAGGAGTTGAAGGAGGAGCGGTTACCAAAATGCCATTGACGAAGCGAACGCCTAAGGTCTGAATCAGAGCGTAGCCGGCGAGGTCGACGGAGCTGATGTGACCGATGAACGACTGAGTAACGACCAGAGTACCGAAGGAAGAAACTCGCGAGATAATCCCCGGGAAAGCGACTTTCCATATCTTCTTCGACTCGTCCAACGCTCTTACCGACAAATTGTTTCTTCTCGCCTCGTTCTCGTCGGTCGGAGGATTTTGGAGCAGCTTCTCCTGAATCTCGCTCCTCATCTTCTTCCTCCTGCAGCTGCAATTTCTAGAGAGAGAGAGAGAGAGAGGTTGAAATGGAGTGAGTGATAGGAAATAAATGAGGTTCGTCTGAGCACATGAACAGAGCTTCAAAGGTAGAAAAAAAAAAAAATTAAATTAATTAAAAAATGAATTAAAAAAATAATAGATCGGAAAAGACGTGGACGCACTGCACTACTTGCAAATGATTTATTGGAAGGGTAGAGGGTCATTTATTACTCCACGTCCAAATTTATTTATTCTTTTAATCAATTTTCTTTTACTTTTTTTACACATTCTAAATATATTAATGAATTTCTTTTATATTAATATTTGAATATTAACGGTTAAAACATACATAAATATAATTAAATAAAAATAACAAAAACACATTTATTAATCTCTTATAATATAAATACAATGATATTTATGAAATGAATTATACAAATATAAAGATAATATTAAATATTATAATGCAAAAGATAAATTATGCATTTTTTATGGGACGAAAATAGTATAATATTTACTCATTCCGTGCCAATTAATTTGTCTCCTCTTTCTATTTTTGTCCATCCAACATAATTTATCATTTTTTTTAGAAATATAATTATACATTTTAATTACATTTTAAAATTTTTAATTTATATTAATTTTAATTATACTATTTAGTAATCTTAATATTAATTTATAATTATTTGTATTAAATCATAATTATTTTTAATAATATACTTTTTAATTACTTACTAACTATACAGTAACTACAACTCTGCTTAAGCTAAAAAATAATTTAATTTAAAATATTATTTTTATATTATCGAAATAATTTTAAATATCTTATAAAAAAATATTTTAAACTAAAATATTAAACAAACATTTTTTTTTAATTGGATTGTCATTAAAATATATATACATATTTTAACAAAACAATATATTAATTTTTTATTATTATTATTATAAAAAGCAAAAAAATATCAAGTATTAACTATTTTTAGAAAAACTCATGCACAATTATTGCACACACATTTAAACAATATAAATGAGTATAATGTATGGTTGACTTGTGTTTGTGTATTATTTAGTTAGGTGCCAACTCAGTGTATTTTATTATTTTTTTATATTTTGATAAATTGTATAATAGTATTTATTTATATTTTATTATTAATATATAAAAATATATTTATATTAAATTAAAGTAAACACATAATTTTTTTTTATTCAAAATTGATGTTTGATTATAAACGGCATAATTAATTATAAATATAGATATACAATAAAGGGATTTAAATATTCATATAATTGATCAATTGATCATTTCTTTATTTTATTTAATTCAAAATAATTATATATAGATATTTCACTTTTTTATTTGTATACATTTAATAATGTATATTTACAATCAAAATTACCTTTGGATTAAAAAAAAAAAAGAAAAAAGAAAAGAAAAGAAAAGAAGGTGTTTAATGTGTATTTAACATAAAAGTATTTTATCATATAAATTTATTTTAATTAAAAATCAGAAAAAAAAAATAAATTAATAAATGAATAAAAAAATATATAAATCAGAAAAGACACGGACACACTATGGGTGTATTTGTTTTGTGAAATTGATTGAAGTAATTATTTTTTTAGATTAAATATAAAAAATTATATAAGTAATATAAAAATAATAAATATGTGTAATATATTAATTTTTTAGAAAATATATATATTTTTAAAAAAAAAAAAAAGAAAAAAACAAACCTACCTGTAAATTTCTACTTATTTTCCTTTGTTCATTCAATTAACTTTTTTTTTTTAATATATATAATAATTATGACAATAGCTTAGTGTCGAATTTAAGACTGTATTATTATTAGCATCTTATCATTTATATTAATATAATATAAAAATAACATATGAATTAACATCATATGATATAGTTTTATACAATATATACAACAATTAATTTTAATATATGACATACTTTTATACAATAATTAAAATAATAATTTTTTTTTTATTTTAAAAAGTTTATGAATTTATGTGGATTTAGAAAATTCATAGAGTCTATGTTGAATTTGATAGATTTTAGTAATTGATTTAGATGGATTTTTACAGATTTGATTGAACTTTTTATGGATTTATATGGATTTTGTAGGATTGTAAAATATTTTTTAATGGATATACTAATTATATAAATTTATATCAAACACAAATTTTATAAATATAATATATTTATAATTAAAATTATTAGATATTATTAGATTTTTATAAAATAAAATTTAATATTGATAAATAATATATAATTATTAATAATGTAGAAGTATTGTAACATCTATTACACTACTATATTGTAGATTATTATTCTTAATTTTATAATTTTAGTACTCCCTCCGTCCTATAAAGAAATATTCATTTATTTTTTGCACGTAATTTTAGAAATACTCCATCCGTCCCGTTGGAAGAGTAGCGTTTGCTTTTTACACGTAGATTTTATAATATTAGTATTATATTGGATTATAGTAAAAAAAAAAATATCCCTATTAGTATGGTGTAATATAAAAGTAATGACATTTGTGTAATATATTGTAAGTTGAAAGAGTATTTATTATGTGAAATAGGTAGTACAATTACTAAATTAGGAAATGGTAACTTTGTTTTGAGACGGACGAAAATGGAAAATGGTAACCTTTCAATGGGACGGAGGGAGTATTAGTATTGTATTGAGATATAGTAGGAATAAAGTGAAAATGACTAAAATAACCTTATTAGTATGTGTGATACAAAGGTAATGACATTTGTGTAATATATTGTAAGTTGTAAGTGTATTTGTAATGTTGGGTAGATAGTACAGTTATTAAAAAAGGAAATGAATACTTTGTTATGAGACGGACTAAAATGAAAATATGGATACTTTGTTATGGAACGGAGGGAATATTATATTATCATTCAATATATTAAATTAGGTTTATATTTTTTATTAGTTATTATTATTATTATTTATATAACTTTATATAAATAAACTAAAAAAAAAATTATAATCTAGGAATTTTGAAAAAATTATTAAAATAAATAAATAAATAAAAATTAACGGTTAAAGAAAATATATATATATTTAAATATCTATTTTATCGTCATCGAAATAATAATATAGTGTATTTGATAATTGAAAAAAAAAAAAACGACAATAATACATATTTATTATGATAATAATATTTTTTTAATTTATATTTATAATATAAAATATATATTATAAAAAATCATAATAATATGCTAATAATATATTTTAGTTTTAAATTATTATTTTTATTAAAAATTATAATAATATTAATAAAATCATGTTATTTATCTATATTACTACAACAACAATAACAACAACAACAATAATAATAATAATAATAATAATCCATCAAAATCTCTACTCACCAAGAGAGATTCTATCTATACAAAGTTTTCACAATTTTTCATTAAAATTCATAAACTTTAAAAGTTTATGGATTGTTGAATACCTCAATATTTTAAAAGAATTTTAAAAGTCTGGATTGAATACCTCCAGATTTTAAAAAACTTTTTAAAGATCTTGATTGAATACACCAAATTTTGAAAGTCCAACAAAATCCTACGTAATCTAGATTGAATACACCCTTAATGTTTGACTTTTGAATAGTAAAATATTTAAATTTTAATAATTATTTTATATGATACAAAATATATATTGATGCGTTATCTTAATATAAAATTAATTTTTAATATAATATATACAAAATAAAAACTGATTTGAATTTTTAGTAGTAAATACTGGAAGGGTGTGTTTGTTTGAAGGATTTTGGAGGATTTCCACTATTCATCCAATTTTTTCCCCCAAAAAACATCAAATCAAACACCTATTTTTCATTTTTTATATTATACTAAAAATCAATTTTACATTCAAAACATCACATCAAACCCTATTTATATCATATCATACAACTATTCAAATTCAAAATTTTTACTATTCAAATCCCAATCCAAAATCCAAACTCCCAAACAAACACACCCGAAGAAGACTAGGGTTTGCTCGATTATGATTTGAAATAATGTGTTAATTTTAATTTTTATTTAAATATTCCGTCCGTCTTGGATAATTTGACCACGTTACTGTAGACACGAGAATTATGAGTGGTATAATTAGTAAATAATTAAAAATATATTAATGAAAATAATTATCGTATAATAAAAATAATTATAGATTATGATTAAGATAATTGATTAGTATAATTAAAATTAAAAGAAATTAAAATTAAATTTTTAAAAATAAAATTAAGGTGTATAATTATTTTCTAGAAAAAAGAAAGTGACAAAATAAGTGGGACGAACGAAAATAGAAAGGTGGACATAAGAAGTGGGATGGAGAGAGTAATATTTTAATATAATATTTTATAAAAAAAAATAATATTATATCCGTTCGGCTTTAAAGTTCTCATTTACTTTTTTATATATTGATATTTGAATATTAATTATTATATCAAAACCGTAGTATAAATTAAAGAATAATTGCAAAAATATTTTTATTAGTGTCTTATAATACGAATAGAAAGACAATTGTACAAAAAATTATACAAATATAAAAATATTTTTAATATTAAGTAAAATAACAAAAGAAATAAATGTAACTCTCGGAGACGGACAAAGGAAATATATTATATTAAAAATAATACATAATAAATAATATTAATTTTGATTTGAAATCATAGCCAAATACACCTTTAGAAAACCTCCAACCAAAGATATCCTAATGTTCAAATGTAAGTTTGCAAATGCAAATTTACTGGATTAATCTTATTAAATAATAATTCTATTCGAAAGTGCACACTGGGTAAACTTTCGACTGAACTTAATATCTTAAAAACTAGGTCCGACAACCATATATATATATTTATGACGTGGGATTCCGCAGCCGTTACCCGAAAATGCGCACTGGGTAAACCCCGGCCGCTACCAGACAACCATATTTATTATTTGAATGTTTGGTTTTGGTAGAGTTTAAGTCCGATGGTTTTTTATATTACTCACTCTTTCTCAATACAGTAGTTTTGTTTACTATTTTTGTCCGTCCCAAAACAATAATCTCATTTC